AGAAGAAGAAGAAGAAGAAGAAGAAGAAGAAGAAGAAGAAGAAGAAGAAGAAGAAGAAGAAGAAGAAGAAGAAAAGCCTCTGGGATGTTGGTGACGCACACCTTTAATCCCAGCACTTGGGAGGCAGAGGCAAGTAGATCTCCAAGTTCAAGGCCAGCCTGGTTTACAGAGCAAATTTCAAGACAGCCAGGGCTACTCAGAGAAACCCTATCTGGAAGGGGTGGGGGTGGGGGGACTGAAGAAAAACTGTCATGTGAGACATTTAAGAAACTCTTAGGGACAGTCCTATCCACCTGAATGTTCTCCTCTATTCTCAATGTAGAATTACAGGACTAAGCCAGACCACAGAAACTCCAAGCTAGTAAGCAACTGGTGTAATTTTTAAAAGGTGGTACGAGAGAGAAAGATGCCATGTGACAGAGTTCAAGTGGAAGGTTTAAAAAAAAAAAAAATTAGGGAAAGGGGAGGGGAAAGACCGGCCTCCCAGGGATAGGAGCAGCAGAAGAGAGGAAAAAGAGGCAGAGAAAGAGAGAAACAGAGAGAGGAGGATGGGAAGTAAGCAGGGCCCTTTAAAAAGGGAGCGTAGTCAATGTGTACAGTGGTGCTCTTAGTGGCTGCGGCTGAGGGCGTATCCTGTCAGAACCCCAAGGACAGGCCAGTAAAGATCCCTGAATACTAACAGTAATAACCTTGGGCTGCCTGGACATCATCAAAGACATTCCATAAATGTCCCTTCCTTTCCAGGACCAGGGGATATAGCACATGGCTGCTTGTGTATTATGTGGTATCTTTCAGTCTTTTAGAGACAGACATCCCATGTTTGTCTATGTCTGGATCTTTGATAAATCTAGAGGCAAATATATAGCTCATGGGTTTTGTTTGTTTTTTGGTTTTGGTTTGGTTTTTTGGTTTTTCAAGACAAGGTTTCTCTGTGGCTTTGGAGGATGTCCTGGAAGTAGCTCTTGTAGACCAGGCTGTCTCACAGAGAGATCCACTTGCCTCTGCCTCCCGAGTGCTTAGCATGTGGGAGACCCTGAGTTTGGCCTGCTATTTATGTTTGAAAAAAGACACAAGTGAGGAAATTGTGGAGAAGAGAAAAGCCAGATAAAGTGGAATTCATACTGTTGTAAAACATGAGCTATATCCAGGCAGCTGGCTTTTAATCCCAGCACTCGGGAGGCAGAGGCAGGCGATCTCTTTGAGTTCCAGACCAGCCTGGACTACAAGAGCTAGTTCCAAGACAGGCTCCAAAGCTAAACAAAGAAACCCTGTCTCGAAAACTAAAAAAACAAAAAAATCTAAGAAACACACACAATTATCTGCCTGCCCTCACACCCCCCCAGTCAGCATTATTTCCAAGGACAGGTCAGTTCAGAAAATTTTGACACAATGTTTCAGTGACTTAGTAGCCAAACAAAAAAGTAAAATTCACATGCCTGGGCAACTATATGAAGCAATTACAAATGTAAGACATTTTTCCTGCCGATACTCTCAAAAATAATTTTAAAAAAAGAGCAATTACTAACACTACCATGATAGCATTAAGGATTAATGAATATGCTGGAAAAAATACCCAAGAGTTTGAAACACACTGAAGAAAGACAAGAGTATTATGATTTCTATGACAAAGTTAAATCTAATTACCTATATGTGTTCTAATGCATAATTTCAACATTTATTATTTTGTCTTACAAATAAAAACAGAGGGCTGAGGTAGCTCATGGCACTACATTTGACTAGTATGCACAAAATTCTAAACTCAAACTTTAGTAGTGCAAACAGTTCTACAACTAGAATAATCTACAGTAATATATCTATTCTCCTCAGATGGCTAAGAGATGTGAATTCACACCTGTGATGATAGAGCCAGTCCTAATTCTTTCAGCTGGTCCTTCAGATTCTTCACAGATGCCACTGACCACAGTGAACAGTCTTCCCTTGAAAACCAGTCATTCCTTGATCTATTACCATCTGTTTTACCAAAAACTGATGACTGAAGCAGCACACATTTTAGAGCAAAACTATCGCTACAGACTAAAGAAGATCTTTATTCTCAAGAATAATGATATTTTTATAATGTATTAGAACAGTTAATTAGTGAACTAACCTACAAATATATAATCCCCAGTGCTCCATATTCATTTGTCATGGATGCACTAGGTCCTAATAACAACAAACAAAATGGAACTGAATTTAAGATCCATCAAAAGTCTCCTGAATTCCAAATGACTACAAATAGCTTCTACACAGTAAGCAAACATGGCATGTCTGTCAGATACAAAACAACCTGTGTTTGTAGCACAAAGAAAAATAACTTGGGAGAGTGATCATTGTTATTTGCTCTCCCCGGATTCTCGACCCATGAGCTCCAGCAAGCACCATGCACTTCAATCTTCTGTGTCCTTCCACCAGCATACACTTGCCACATTGTCCTCACCCAGTTTTTTGCCTGTGAGAAGTTAACCTGTGATTCTGATTCTAAGGAAAATATTCTACCACTGAGCTATGCCCTCCAGTCTAAACATCTCCTTTTTCAGAAATCTTTTAAGGACCATATCCCTGGTGAAACTTATCCACTACTCCAATCGGTATGCCCTGTAACTCTGTGCTCCAGCAAACTAGAGACTAGCTGACTCTTTTGTATCTCTAGTCCACTGGTACTCACTAACAGATCTTCTCTGCCTTAAACAGCAAGGACGTTTGGCACAATGAAAGTGGTCCAGGCCTGCACCTTGCTGTCCAGGAAAGTCAGTGCACTTGGAGGCAGTGCCTTAGAGATACTAGCTTAATTCTTTTTTCTTCCCACTAAGAGCTCTACATATTCTAGATAAACTAGAAAAACAGTACTTTGTAAAATGTGGCTCTAACGTAGATAGGTATCTTGTGATTCCTATTTTATACCTCCTTCCCCATTCATTACAACAGACTACTTTGTAAGGAGGGTCTATATAGCCCAAATTAACTGTATCTTAAACTCCCCAAAGATGGAGAATATGTCTGAAATGTTTGTTTTCCTCTACAAAAGTTGAGAAAGAAAAAACAAAAATATTCCTCCAGAGTCTTATGACAAATAGCTATGGATTCTATTAAGCCTACCTGAAATATTACAAACATGATCACTGTTTATTAGATTAGGACAAAGACTTTCCTCTCAACAACAGTAAAAGCATTCACCTCTCCCCACTACTCTCCCTTCTCCATAGCCTTGAAAGAAAACTATTTGGCATTACAGTTCTGCACAGCCTATGTTCACAGTCAGGACAATGTAATGCATCTAAATATGTAATGATTAACGACAATGAAATAGCTGGTAAAGATCAGTCAGTCATTCCCATATTACAAACATTAATAATAATTGCTGTCAGTCCTACTTTAACCAAACTAACAAAAATATTCACAAAGGCTTTAAGAAGCTTAGCTACTTCATTCACAGAAGGCAGAGTATTTATGGAGACAATTAAACTTCAGCCGTTAGACGTTCCTATTAGATAGGAATGTATACCCTGAAGACAATGTATAAATGAAATGTTGTGTTAGTGGACAAAAAAATTCCTTTGAGTTACACAAAAGGTAGAATTTCATTTCCTTCAAGTTTCAACACATTTGTTGGTCTTGGCAAGCCCTGTTTGAGTAAAATTAAAGAAAACTACCTGTGATTATATGTCACAGGTTAGACAAGCCTAATACACCATATGTACACACATTTTACAGTTAATTTATCAGTGGACCTCCTACTGAAAAGGAAACTAACTCCTAGACATTGTAACTGCAACTAAGACTATCACACTTGTTTAAAAATTATTCTAATACCTACCACTGCATTTTTTTAAAAGCTGGCTTAAGTATTTAAAGTATTTTAACCATTGTGGTTAAGAAAAATAATTAAAAGTTCAGATTTTTTTTCTAATCCCTAGTTGTTACATAAAACCATAAACTTTGCCTCTTGATTTGATAAAATTGATCAAAAGCATAATAGATTGATAGATATATAAATAGATAACAAGATAGATAGAT